GATATATGGAATGTACCATGTCAGTATGAAGGGGGAGGGGTGATATATGGAATGTACCATGCCAGTATGGAGGGGGGGTAGTGCTGTATGGAACATACCATTTCAGTATGAAGGGGGGTGATCTATGGAATGTACCATGCCAGTATGGAGGGGGGGTAGTGCTGTATGGAACATACCATTTCAGTATGAAGGGGGGTGATCTATGGAATGTACCATGCCAGTATGGAGGGGGGGTAGTGCTGTATGGAACATACCATTTCAGTATGAAGGGGGGTGATCTATGGAATGTACCATGCCAGTATGGAGGGGGGGTAGTGCTGTATGGAACATACCATTTCAGTATGAAGGGGGGTGATCTATGGAATGTACCATGCCAGTATGGAGGGGGGGTAGTGCTGTATGGAACATACCATTTCAGTATGAAGGGGGGTGATCTATGGAATGTACCATGCCAGTATGGAGGGGGGGTAGTGCTGTATGGAACATACCATTTCAGTATGAAGGGGGGTGATCTATGGAATGTACCATGCCAGTATGGAGGGGGGGTAGTGCTGTATGGAACATACCATTTCAGTATGAAGGGGGGTGATCTATGGAATGTACCATGCCAGTATGGAGGGGGGGTAGTGCTGTATGGAACATACCATTTCAGTATGAAGGGGGGTGATCTATGGAATGTACCATGCCAGTATGGAGGGGGGGTAGTGCTGTATGGAACATACCATTTCAGTATGAAGGGGGGTGATCTATGGAATGTACCATGCCAGTATGGAGGGGGGGTAGTGCTGTATGGAACATGCCATGTCAGTATGAAGGGGTGGTGGTATATGGAATGTACCATGTCAGTATGAAGGGGAGGGGGTGTTATATGGAATGTACCATGCCATTACTTTGGGAGACATATATAGACTGTACCCCATGTCAGTATTTCCTCCCTATACATGGCAGGAGAGTGTTTGGAATGCACCATGTCTCTCTATGGAGGGGTGCTGTGACGTCAGGGGGTGGGGCAGGGAATGGCGCCCCCTGGTGGCAGAGGAAGTACACAGGACACACACTGACCTGATCTCCTCTGTGATCTCCAGCAGACAACCAGCGGAAATCATCACCTCAGCCCCTGCAGGACACACTCTGACCCTGAGGCTCCTCCTCATGTCCCCGATTCACGGGCGCCGCCATCTTGCCGGATCCCCCATAGAGAAGAATGAGGCGCTGGGCTCCGGTAATATGGCGGCGTGTCCCAGCCGGGGGCAGGCTTCCAACTGGGCCCTCAACCGGACCGAACACCGGAGAAATGTTATCACAGTAGAGGGTGGGAGGGGAGGAGTCTCCGATCAAAGCTAGAACCTTCACCAGCCTGCACAGCGCGGCCCCTCACACCGGAAATTGGGAACACCCGGAAGTGTTGCTGGAACGCACATACCGGAAGTCCCTGAAATGGTTGTTAAGCCACTTCCGGCTGTTGTCTGCAGTGGTGGAGGGGACAGGCATGAATTCAGGTGAGGAGATGCTGTGTGGTGACCCCAGGCAGGGGTAGGAAGGTGGTGTCACCAGGGGGCTTCATTTTAGGGGGTCCATACATTCACCCCCCCCAATCCTACAGTCTTCTATAGAGCAATGGGGGTCATATTACAAAATATGGGGGGCCCTCCAATGCATCCCCTGACATGTCCAGGGGCCACACAGTAGTTCAGTTCTCAGACGTCATTGTGTGCAGCGCCAAACACCTCGACGCATGTCAGCGCGCCGCCTGTGAGCACATCAATACAACGCACAATGTGATCATAGAACCCTACATCAGGATTGGACAGAGTCAGCTACATGTCCCCGCCCCCTGCGAGTCAGCTACATGTCCCTCTCCCTGCGAGTCAGCTACATGTCCCTCTCCCTGCGAGTCAGCTACATGTCCCCGCCCCCTATGAGTCAGCCACATTACTGTGCTATGAGTGACACCCCCATCCCGCCCCCTGTGTACCCCAATATACTCCACCATTAGAGTGCAGGGGTCAGGAATGTACAGCACAGTGTATGAAGCGGGGGAGGGGGGGTCATGTGACTCGGTATATTTGATGTCACCGCGAGCAGCGGTCTCTCTCCTGTGCAGGCCGGACATTATCAGACATGGAGGGACACAGGAAGACCTCCTCCATGGCGCTGGATCCGGAGGTCTCGGTGAAGATGGAGGAGGACTTGGGGGAGGTGTCTAAGAGTATCCTCCGCCTGACCCTGGAGATCATCTATACTATGACCGGAGAGGTGAGGCATCATGGGAGGGGGTATTGGTGGGATCTCCTCTGCTGGACTCCACCATGGAGGTCATACTCCGGCCTTCTGATAAGGATCGCCTCCCGTGGTCTCTCACTCTGGAGGTCTATCACAGGGGGAGAGGTGAGGCATCATGGGAGATTCCCAGTGATCAGGGGGTATGGGTGGGATCTCCGGGACGTCCTCTGCTGGACTCCACCATGGAGGTCATACTCCGGCCTTCTGATAAGGATCACCTCCCGTTGTCTCTCACTCTGAGATGGAGGTCTATCACAGTCCGGGGTGGGGGGGTTGGGGTGAACCAGTGACTACCAGAGCTGGTCAGTATTGGCCTATCAGAACCCTCCCAGTTTTCGGATCTCTGCAGGTAAAGGAACCCAACGTCCTGGAACCCAAAGCCCGGCCCTCCGCTTTGAAGCTCCACCCCATCCCATCCGTCTGTTAGTCTTGGGTGGAGAAGGGATGGGAGGGGCCTCTGTCAGGTTTTTTGCTGTTGGGGCTATTTGGGTCATTTCAAGGTCTGCTCCTTTCTTTCACACTGCAGGACTTTATGATTGTGAAGAAGTCTGGTGAGGACCAAATTCTGGAGGCCTTCAGGAGAACCAAAAGTGTCATCATGGATCCTCCGCTGACACACGAGGGGAATGATGGGCGGAGGATTCTGGAACTCGCCAACAGGATCATTCAGCTGCTGAGCAGACAGGTGGGTGACGTCAGGAATGTCAGATGGATGACTGCTCCATGGTCACCCCGCTCAGGGAATCCTGCACTTCCTCTTCCTGTCCGGCCCCTTCTGTACTCCCATTCCCTGGCTGCTGGTGAACATGACGGTTGTCCTTCTTCTGGACCTTCTGTCCTCCTCCTTCCTCCGTACCTTCTGTCCTCCTCCTTCCTCCGGACCTTCTGTCCTCCTCCTTCCTCCGGACCTTCTGTCCTCCTCCCTTCTCCGGACCTTCTGTCCTCCCGCCC